AGTTGAAGCAAAGACTATTTATGTGGTAGACTTTTGTTTGTGTTTACATTGTAGTTCACATGGGTTTTATTTCTGATGTTATCGTTTAGGTTTTATAAGTAAACAGCTGACGTGAAAATGTTGATGTCTATTCTAAGCACTTATTGCATATTTGATATTTTATTTAATTGATATCTTATTACCTTGCTAAGTACACATTGTACAACATAGTATGAAGCTCCTGACAAAACAGGAAGAGAAGAAAGGTGACAAGAATGGCCTGGCACACAGGAAAGGAAAGCTAAGCACATGTACTGTCAGCGTAAGCAAAACATGTGCATGGAACATGAAGTAGTCATGTGTGAAGGCTGCCTTGGATGTGCCAACTGAAGCAAAGATTATTTTCGTTGTAGAGTTTTATTGGTATTTTCAATGTAGTTCACATAGGCTTTTATTTCTGATGTTATCTTTTAGGTTTTGTAAGCAAGTACATAGCTAATGTGAAAATATTGATGTTTATTCTAAATGCACAATACATAATAATTTAATACTTCTTCAGGCCTTTCTGTTGTGCCACAATTCTGAGCCTTCTGCACACTGATTCCTGACCAAAGGATTCTGTTCTATCAGTGCCCTATTAAATTAACTTCAGACATCTGATAACACCATGTCAGAGTCTCACCCAGTGCAGCTATGAGTTAATAAATCAACCTTCTGAAGCCAAGATATGCTCTCCTTTTAAATTATATCAGAACAAGTAGGAAATTTCAAGTTTTTTTAGTTCTTTTTGTTCACCCATATGCTCATCTATTTACCAAATATCCACTGAGGACCAACTCTTTGCTCTCAAGGCTTTACAATGACGCTGGGTAACTCAGGCATTGAATATACACTTCACATGTGGTGTTACAGAGAAAATAGGGAAGGTAATCCAATAAAATTACTATGTAAGGAATAGAGGATTAGCAATTTTAATTGCAACAGAATAGTAAAAAGACTCTTCAGGGAGGTGACTTTAAGCTGAAATTCAGATGAAAATATGAAGCAGTAGGAAGGGAAGGAGAAGACAGAAGTTAGAGGCAAACATGACGACAAAGTCCCTGAGTTCAAAACAAGAACAGTATATTTGACAAAAGCAAGCAGCAAAAGAGAATGAGATCTACAGGAGCTGGGGAGGTGGGCAGGACTTGAGAGTGAAGTTGAAGAATTCACCAGGGACTTCACCATTACAAAGTAAGCAGGGAGGTGAAACAGATGCTACAGATAAATGGCATGCACAGTGGAGGAGACAGAGGATCCTGGAACTAATATTTGCATGGTAGAGAGGTGAGGGTTGTCCATGCAGTAGGCCGGGATTTCAAACTTAGATACCTAGAGGGGCCCGAAACAAGCCCAGGCAAGAGCCAGATATGTGAGAACTACAGTGACCTATAGAATGAGTGACATTCCTCATAGCATCAGACTCATTAAAAAACACTTTGCAGTCAAAATAGAGCACATTATTAAAAAATACATTTCAGACAATAGTTAGATACATATAAGGAGGTAAGGAAAGCCCTGGGCCATCAATACTCAAATCTGAGCTGGAAAAGAAGCAGGAATTAGGCTGGGAAAGAGAAAGTCAATAGAATGGGATTTCATAAAAGGCAAGAAAGAGTTATATCTTGAATTTCAGGAACTAAGCAAAACAGAGTATGTTTCATTAGGCAACAGCCCAAATGCTACAATGCTCATAACAGAAAGGCACTATTCGCTATAGAACTTGCACAGACTACAAAATGGAGGGAATAATCAGCTGGGACAGATGTAGAAAGACAGGAACTACAGAGCCAGGTAGTTCAAGCAGTGATCCAATGCACACATCTTCCTCAAGAATCAAGGTCGTACACACTTTGTTTGAATAGATCCAAGAGTGAGGAGCTCACTTTCTCAAAAGGCACTCTCACTGCTCAGAGTTTTTTCAATTTGACCTGCTGTTATCTGGAGATGATAGTTGCCTCTTTGTAGACTGATAATGCCAGACGGGCTCTCTGGGGCTACACAGAATGTATTTAATGCTTTTCCACCGCCATTCCTTCAAATATTTAGAAACAATAACTCTGTCACTATCATTCCTCCACATGTCATCCCATCTCCAATTTAAATACCAACTCTTTCCTAATCTTTGCCTCAAGAACCTGCCATCTCAAACACTTTCCTATAAATTTTCTCCAGTTTGTCACTGTCCTTTTTAAAATGGTGCCCAGAGAAAACACAACATTTCTAATTGACATAACTCCGGGCCCATTTAGCAACCCTTTCCATGTGGAAATACCGTTATATTTATTAAGCTCAGTCTCCTACTGTCCTGGTTTCCCACCCCTTCCCCTCCAAAGCAGTCTGTTTGTTGTATGTCCTGAAGAGATGCATAATCCACAGTGAGTGATTTCATCAGTATAAAGAATGCCATTCTTCATCACTCTATCATTTCTGATTAAGATCACTCAGTCTAATGCACATTACATCTTGTACCAATAAATCTAAAGCAGTGCCTAATGCTTTCCATGCTTCTTTCTAGGTATAACCTCATTATGTATTTAAACCAGACAAAGAGTTTTATACAAAGAAGATGAAACTGAGACTGAGTAGTTAAAGGCAGAAGGAAAATTGGAAATATGGCCCTTGAAGGGGAGCTGGATGGCAATATCCAATGACCTGGCTTTAATCTGGGTTATCCACTTATCTGGCATTGCTACAATTATAAAAGAATAATAATAATAATCATAATAATAATAATAATAATAATAATAGAACTAACTAGCTATTAATAAATGCTTAGTATGTCCCAAACCCTAAAATAAGACTTCAGGTATAATATGTCATGAAATACATCTTTTAGATGATCTTTTAGAGTGGTATGAACTCTTATTTGAATCTTAAAGATAAGAAAATTAAAACACAGAGGTTAAGTGATTTGCCCAATGTCATGTAGTTCGTAGATGATGTTGGGATTTGAACCAGATTCTGCTCATTTTCAGTGTTCAATCTCTTTATAGTCTTGTACCACAGTTTCCCTTAGATACTATCTATACTACATATGACCTACCCCTTGATTATAAAACAAATACTTCTCATGATAACTACTGCCCCTGAGATGCTCCTCCAAATAGGTGGAATGTCTGGAACATGTGTTGCCTTATCTGAGGGACTAGAACTGGCATCATTGCATGCGCACAAGGGAAGGAAGATAGGGGAGAAAGGCCACACATCGACTACCTTGCTGGACGCCATGTCTTGAGCCAGACTGAACCATGCCTGTGCAGCTTCTGTCACTAGTATATTTGCAACATAAACAAGATTTCAAGGAGACTGCTCAGGCTAAGAAAACAGTGTTTTCAAGTACTCTTAATACCACTTTAGCAATATTCATTTGTATATAAATCATGTGCTAATTTATTCATTAAAATAGCCTATACTTGGCAATATTTTGTGAACTTCAGTTTATGTTAATAGGATCACTACTTGTTTTTTATGTATATCTTTATAATTACTCCATAATTCTGATTTTCCTGTAACATGGACTAAGCCCTTACCGAACCCCAAAGTGTACTCCACACCCAGTGAAAATAAGATCAAATTATAGTACTACAGAATGGCTGCAGAAACCCCAGATTTGCCAGAGAGCCTATTTTAACACCCAGTCACACACCAGGATCATAACTGGTCCCTCATTGCCTGTGAAATCTACTAGAACAGAATTCCTAGAGATGGATCCTCCTAGGAATTGAGATTTTCACACAACGGCACTTAAGTACCAGGGATGAGACAATTTCCATCTGACACAAGTCTGCTGCAGCTCTTGGCAAACAGGAAAAATGAGACAATATGACATCCTAAAGGCATTTTACCCCAAGTGATAATCCCTCATCTTGAACAATCCAGTGAGTCCCAGAAAAAGAATTATGCATTTCATTATAAAATGTTGATCTCTCACTCTTTATTTTTATGGTCTGGATAGCCAAGTTAACGCCCATTTACTGCAAGGAAACCCTGTAAACACACACAAAAAAGCATGACTGTATAGGACTCTTCTCAGCTATATGATTCCCAGCTAAAGAGAAACACATGGTTCTACCTGGCGGAGTTATAGATAGACAATCAAAATTTGAAAACGCAGCAGATGACTACTATGGCACCTCTTTCCCATTGGACATCTATGGTAGAAATTGCTAATCAATTAGAGCACCTTCCTTTTCCATTCAGAAACACCCTCAAAGTCCTTTTCAACTAAGCGCTTTAGGGTAATGGACCACTTGATGTTCAGTAAAATGTGGTAAATGTATTTTCCCTTACTTGACTAGAATAAGCAGCTAATCTAAAATCACCTTGAATGTTATACCAGTCTAATCCCCCAGAGGCTGTCTGTGCTTTCCACACAAGGCAGATGAGTATCTAGAGGTGTTCGTGCAGACAAGACCCCAGGATTCATGTGTGTACTGATTTCACATTTATGTCTTGGGCAGGAGGATCCACAAATCAGTTTATTGCTAAAAGCTTTATGATACATAGGTTACACTTGCATTGTTCAAACCAGCTAGTTTCTACCTGTCATTATTCAAATTTCCACTTTGAGTAAATGCTATTTGGGGAGACAAGCTAAGTTCCAAAATGTGTTAAAAACTATATTTAGTTTTTGCCTAGAAGAATCTTATATAAATCTGTTTGACCTCCACTGATGGCATTGTAGATTTTCTTCTATGGAGACTCTAGACCAGTATCTCCACATAAACACTTAGTGTCCTGGACAAGGACACTTGGATGCTGCTGGTTTTCATTTGAAAAAGAGATCATTAGAATTCATTTGTCTTGGCTTCCCATGAGGGCTATTCTTAGCTTCCTGGCCTCTAATGCCACTTTCCAAGTTATGTTGGGCAGCATCGCATTTAAGCCCATATCTAGTGTGGTATCCGGTTCACTTGGTTGACTTCACCGCACTGGCAGGTACTGTGATCACACAGCAGAAGCACAGCAGGCAGACTCACCTCATCGTAGATGCTGTCATTCCTGCGAAAGTCTCCAGCCTTTCTGGGAAGAACGTGGACATGAACATGCTGAAAATGGATAAGACAGAAAAAATAAAATTAATTATCTCTCCATACATTTTGAGACTTGACAGTGACATTCTCATGAAGCCCAATTATTCAGCATTGGTTCCTGCTGGATTATTTTTCAGAGGAAGATGATGTTCCCCTTCAGCAATTATATATGAAATCTGCTGAGAAGAGAGAGGAACAAAACAAGAGGGAACACCTTGGTGGCATATATGAGTTTGAGTGAAATGCCAGAGTATTTTAGAGGACCTGTGGAATTATTCATAGCTGTCAGTCTTGGTTGTATTTAGCCAGTGCTTTGAAATGACAATGTGTCTTCAAAGATGACCATTGTGACTTTGAAACTGACAGGAAATAAGAACTGGCTAACAGAGTACTGCATAAATAAAGATTGAATGAAAGAGAAGAGGAAGTAGTATGGGTCAAATTACAGAATTGGGGCTTTAAATAATACTTGCATAATAGTAATGCAAACAGTTCCCATTTATTAAGCTTTTATTTTCTGTGATTAAGTTATGTATTTGTACTTGGTATTATTTAATACTCTAAAAGTCCTATATAACACGTTCTTCACTTTTCATGCAAGGAAATCAATGTTCAGAGAGGTCTTGGTAGAGTCAGCACAGGAAGTTAGGTCCCCTGACTTCTGCCCTTTCTTCATCAGCACAGGCACTGATTCTGTGAACACAATCTTTTCAACGGTCCATTTCTCTAGTCTACTAAAGCACCCAGGTAATATACACAGCAATGCTATTATACAGGATCATGAATCAAGGCTCACAGCATTTCTAATTCAATATATTCTTCAAGGCTAAACTGCCATTTGAAAGTTTTACTTCCCAATAGCACCTATTGTACCTTGGGTGAAGTTAAACATATTCCTGTCCTTGAGCTATGTTCCTTTGTTTATTACAAACCACAACAATGAATATGAAAATGAAAAGCCTAAGTGTGGAGAGGCAGGCAAGGATTCAAACCTTGTTCCTGATCGCGCTTACCCCTTCTTGATTACTATGATCAGGCAGGAAAACTCTAAAGGACCTCCAAAGAATGCAAGATTAAGTGTCCCTGTGGCTTTGTGTGCAAGGGAGGGAAAACGACGTGCTACTAAGGCAGAGGCAGGGAGCAGGACGGTCTGAGGTGAGCGAAGCAGAGAGAAGCTTTGCATCAGCCCCTGAGCACACAGTCCCCAAAGATGACATGTTTTCATCAGCATCTCCTCCAGTCAGGGATGAAGCTGCTCACGGGTCCCTCAGCAGCCGGGCAGGTATGTGGTTCAGGCACAAAGACTATGTGAACATAGAGAGGAAGGAAGAAAAACCAAACAAACAAGGGGAAATAAATCACTAACTACCCAGGAAGCAAATTCTTAGGAGCAAGCCATGCAGTGTGGGTCTGGGCTAAAACTGAGCGAAGTCTATAGGTTGGATGTCTTAGAAGCAAGACCGGGAAGGTGTCACAGAACAACGACCTAGCCCACCTTTAGAAGGGGCCTTCTCTCAACCTTTACTTCCCACACCCGCTGCTGTCCTTCCTTCTCTTCCTCCTTTTCTCTTTTCTTCCTCCAGGTACTCTTTTTGCTTTTCCTTCTTCCTCCCTCCCATCAATCTATTTTTCCATTTATTCATCCATTCTCTATTTATTTCCCTTAAACTCTGTAGTAACCAAATCTTTCTGACCAGGGCTCTGCAGTTAAGGTGCTGGCAGCACACACATGTTCTAGCTATTTGTCAGAAAGTACAGTATCACAGTGCAGTTGGACCTACCATGTAACCAGCTGGGTGACCTTGTCATAGCAGGCCTATTTGACAGCGTCCTTATCTACAGAGGAGACTGCAATGGCTTTTTACCTCACAGGGGTGCTGAGAGGATCAAATCTGTTAAGAATGTGTGTAGCTTGCTACTTAACACATAGGACTTAATACAGCTGCAGTAGGATTATTCTATTTTAAAAAAAAATTAATATTTGAGGTTCAAGTTGAGATCCCATTCAAGAACTGATTCTCACACTAGCAGGAAATATATTTCAGAAGATCCTTGAATGAGAATTGTTAAAGACCTCTTTTACCAAAACTTGTTTCTCTGCTTTTGACTAGCAGTTTTCAAACTTGAGCACACATCTCAGGCTTCTTAAAATATAGATTTCCGGGTCTCAAAAATCGATATTTTTAAGACACTCCCACGATGATGATACTGCTAGTCAAGGTCCAGACTTGGAGAACTACTGGCTAAGCACACATCTGATTCCCAGCCCTGATCTTGCCAAGGGTACTGATGTGGGCACAAGGCCACCCGTTCTGCCTGCCTTGCTTACTGCATGATGTGAAGACTTCTCTGTCTTCCTGAACTCTGACTACCCTGCTTGCCTGTCTTCAGGGCTCTGCTGGTTGCTAGCCCCAACTAACACAGGGCTGGCTGAACTCAGAGTGGGGGAACCTCCCAGGTGTGTGCCTATCTGTCTCCCCGAGCATTGCTTCTCTGAGTCTAGTGTGCAGCGCTGTCTCTGTAAGCTCCACTAGCACCAGTCCGGAAATGCCACTCCTGATCACTGGTAACCACGCGAAACTCTCCATGACACCGCAGTGAACAGCTCAATGGAGAGGTGATTCTCCCCACGGGCAGAAATCTCAACTCAGCCTCACGTTCTGACAGAAACGCTTAAGTGACAGGCTGATCCCATGATCCTGATAACATACTCAGCTTCTCAGAACAGGGAGTTCATGAGAAAGTCAGCTCAAAGCCTCACTGCTGTGAAGAAATGACATCATCATGGCCTTTCAACAAAATGGAGCTCTGATGTAAAACACTTTTAATGGCAGAGATGGGATAATTTAACATAACGCATTCATATTAAGCAGTGATGATCACAATTTAACTTTTCAAAGAGCTAACGAAATTATTTACTAAAGCACACTATAATTTTGCTAAGGATTGTAGTTTAGTTGCCTGAGTTGGAAAAGTCTTTTAAAAGTATTATGATACATCCTATACCAAAATGTTATCAAATTTAATTTTGCAATGGTCATTAACAAAATAAAGTCTCTGAGAGGTCCTGCACAAGAGACGCTTAAGTTTGCATAATATAATGTTCCAGAAATGTATTCAGTTTTTTATTCATGTAGCACTTATACATATTTTTCTAAAACATGGATTCATTCGTTCAAAAACATTTATTGCTAAGTGCCTATCTAGGAACCAAAGATACCGTGATATACAGTGGCCCCTTGACTTATAAACTCAATTCATTCCCAAGGGTGGTTGTAACTCAGCTTGGTCAGTTGAAGGCTCAGGCTCTTCTACACAGCCTGCAAAGTCTCTCTCCTGTACACAGGCACATTTCAGCACCCTTAGACACTGGCCCAGGATTTCTCAATTAACCCCACACAGGAAAGGATGTAGTAATCTTCCTTCCAGAATTCTTAAAGGATAAACTGGAAGCACAAGCTGTTGGCATTTGGGTTGTAACTCAACACTTTGGTCATAAGTTAAAACTAAAACTCCGGTCATACCCCAAGTTGTTCATATGTCAGGCCAGTCGTAACTCAAGGGTCGACTGTACAAGACAAAGATCCTGCCCCCATAGAGCTTACATTCCAATGAGAAATGCAAAACATTACATAAGCTAACAAACAGTCCTGAATGAAAATGCAGCAGAGCACAGAGGATCCACTCTTCTTCACTCCTCCCCGACTCCCATCCTCCTCTGTTGGACATGGCTCATTTCACAGTCAACCCAAGGCTGGGAAAAGCTGGGCTGAGCCGGGGACCCCTGCTCATTACATCTGAATTTCAAGGTCACACTGACTTTTCCTGAGACACACAGCCTTGGCATGTCAGCTTGCCAAGAACGAGGGCTTAGGATTAGGGCTAAGACCAGAAAATTGGCATCTTGGTTGTACTTTGGCGGTTTCTGATATCATTCCAGCCTCCTGCTAAGTTTTGTCCAGAAGCAACAGCAGTGGGTACTGCAGCTGCTGCAGCTCTTTGGTTTTAGACAAGGTCAAGACAGGGAGAGAGGCTTCCCTTAACCAGTTCTGCCAGTTTCCTCTGGGTTTGCAAGGGCCTATAAATATCTTTACATAAATCTGTGTGTTCTCTTGTGTCTTGTTGGGATTGTTATGTGTTTGTGTATTCTGTTTACATTAAAAAGGAGCAAACAAAGAAAAAAATACAGCAGGGCAAACTAGGCATTGGAACACTTCTCCAAGCTCAGGGTGAGAAGTAGGACTCAGCTAAAGAACACAGTGAAGAAGGAAGCAAACCAACCAACGTTCATTTGTCAGTTTCCAACCAATATTGGAACCCTAAGTTCCAGGCTTTTAGAAGATAATTTCAAGACGGTGGGAATCATCCCCAGTATTTAATACTGAGGCAGGAGGACAAAACTGCAAAGTACATGAAAAATTACTCAACATTAGTGAGAGGTGAAATGCAAATCAAAACCACATTGAGATATCTCTACCTACAAACTGGGATGTTTATAACCCAAAAGATGTACAATAACAAGTGTTGGTGAGAATGCAGAAAAATATTGACAAAGAAAAATGTTTCAGCTGCTTCGGAAAATAGTTTTCCAGTTGATTGAAGGGTTAAACATACAGTCACCACATGAAAACAGAACTCAACTTCTAGTGTATGCCCAAGAAAACTGAAAATGTACACAAAAATGTGCGTATGAATGTTTATAGCAATATTATTCACAATCATCACAAAGTGGAAACAACCCAGATGACCGCCAACTGATGGATAAACACAGTGTGGTGTAACAAGATAACAAAATATTATTTGGCACAAAAAGGAATGCAGTACATTAAGGGAAAGCATGCTAAGTGAAAGTATCCTGATACAAATGGCCATATATTATATGCTTCCATTTAGGAAATGTCCAGACCAGGAAAAGTTACAGAGAAAGGAAGGTTAGTGGCTCTAAGAACAGAGTGACTGCTAATGGGCACAGAGCTTCTTTCTGGGATGATGAATATCTTCTAGAATTACTTAGT